GAGCGACAATCGTAGAAGGAGGAAGACACGCGAGTGAGAACTACGAACGCGAGGAGACCAATAGACGACATAAAGACGCAGCGCGCACGGACTAATCCATTTCAAGCGCGCCGCGTCAGAATTTGAACACCGGTTCGTCGCTGCAGCAATTTGGCGACGTCTCGCCCGCCGATGCGCCGGGGAAAAGAACAGGGCAGTGAGGCGAGGGAAGGGCGGGCGGGAAAAGGGGGCGGGCGGACGAGGGGGGGGCGCGCGGGGGCGGCGCAGCGGCGGCGGGAGCGACTGAAGGCAATCGAAGGGGGGCGGCGGGGGCGAGGAGGGCGAGAAGGAAGTTCCAGGAGGGTGGAAGGACAATGGGGGGTGAGTATGGAGTGGGACAGGACGGCAGCCTGACACAGTAAATGAACACAAAATTCGCAAGCGGGGAAAAAAGCGCAGTGCGTTGGACGAGGGGAAGAGGAAGGAAGAGGGGGGGGGCAGGAGGATTGGCGCGAAACGGCATGGTTTGGGGCGCGATGCGACGGGGCGATGCGGCGCCGCGTCGCGCGGCGCGACGTCACCCCCGCCGTGGCGCGACGCGCGCAGCCCCCAATCAACGCGAGGCGTCTTCGTCCTCAGCAACGGTTGGCGCCCCCGAAAATGCGCACCGGCAAATCCTCCTGCGTCGAATTGGAAACAGAACGCGTTGGTGGACCGTCGAACTAGAGTGCGCCACGACCGCCAAAATTGCTGCTGGTGCACCGGCGTCGGAAACCTATATGTCACCAGAGAAATTCGGAAGTCGCGCCACATGTCGCCCACGCACTCTGGGAGGCCGGGATTCGGGACAGAGACGCAAACCAGGGCCGGCGCACGGGCGACGCTCGGGCGACGCACTCAATGCAACTTAAGGGGGGGGGGGGGGGGGGGTCGCATGACTGGGCCTTAACAATAAGGGCCCATCGAGCACGCAATCCGCAGCGTCATCGAGTACCTCGGATACTCGAGTAGGAAGGCCATAGCTTTCGACGGCGAGCCCGCCATCAAGGCGCTGGCGGAGGCGATCCGCATCGGGCGTGCGGGCCCTACCGTTTTGGAGATGAAGCCACGGTAATCCCCTGAGTCCATGGGCGCCGTAGAGAACATGAACAAGGAGGTGAAGAACCTGCCGAGGACCATGGTGCTGCACATGAGGGACGAGGCCAAGGTCGAGCTCCACACTGGTCACCCGCTGGCGCCCTGGCTTGTGAGGCACTGCGGCTGGTGCATTTGCATGTACCGCGTGCGCGCGGGCGGCCGGACAGCCTGCGAGAGGTCGAAAGGCCGGCCATGCAACGGCAAGATTGCCCTCTTCGGGAAGTGCCTGTGGCATCGGACCCCCGATGCCTCTTGTCTCTCGTCCCTTGACGAGCGTTGGACCACATGTATCTGGTTGGGTAGAAGTTGGAAGACCGACGAGCACATCATCGCGCTCGGTAGCGAGGTGCGCCTGGCTAGATCTGTCCGCCGCAAGGCCCAAGGCAAACGGCGGAACAAGAAGATGCTGGACAAGGTGCTGCGCACCCCGTGGCTCCCGCGCCCGGACGCCCAGACCCCAGCGTCCCGGCCGAAGCGCTACATCACGAAGGCCTACCTCGACAAGTACGGCCTCGCCCCAGAATGCCCCGGCTGCGCCGGGCGCGCGACGGGACACAGCGTTGCCTGCAAGGCTCGCTTCTTGACAATCTGGGGGAAGGAGGATGAGGCACTAGCGAGCAGTAGGCCGCAGCTCCGGCGGCCTCCGTGAAGGCACCACGGCTGGCGGCACCCGGACCTCAACTCGAAGCTCCTCCAGGGCCCCCGGCGCCCGCTGGAGCCGCCCCCGACGCTGAGGTGGCAACTCCTGTCGAGGATGCGGCCCCTGCCGCTCCACCAGGGCTGACCCCGGCAACCCATGGCCCCGTCGTGGAGGCGGAGATGGAGGCTGCGAGTATCGCGGCGAAGCGCGAGAGGGAGGACCTGAGTTTCCAGGAGAAGGTCGAGCTCTTCGAGAGTGGCGGCGCTGATGTCAGCGGCCCCGCATCTTCGAGGAGGCGCGTGATCGGCGCTCTGCACGTTTGTGGCCAGCCGTCCCTTGCGGAGGCCAAGTGTATCGCGACGCCGGTGGCCTACGCGGCGACGCCAGATATCGGCGCGCAGGACGTCAAGGACCACAAGACCGGAGAGGTGCTCGACCCCGAGCTCGTGCGTGCAGGTCGCGCACGGGAGCGCCAAAACATGATGGTCAGGTGCCTCTTCGAGCGCGTGCCGATGAAGGACGCTAGGGGCAAGAAGGTGCGCAGCATGTGGCTCGACGAGAAGCGCGTGCAGGACGGTGAGACCACCGTTCGTTCACGATGCGTGGCCATGGAGTTCAACATGTACGACCGTTTGGACACGTACACGGCGACGCCCCCGCTTAAGTTCATCAAATTGATCGTCTCGCGGGCTGTTTTGATAAGGCGTCCTGATTCCAACGACTGGACCAGGGTGCTGAGGGTCTACGACATCGTGACGGCATTTTGGCACGCCGACTTGCCGCTAGACGAGCCGATCACGGTGATCCCGCCTAGAGGCGAGGAGGACCCAGGGATGGTGTGGCAGATGCTGAAGGCCATGTATGGGACACGCCGTGCATCCCAGTTGTTCCTCGAGTTGATGGTGAAGGTTTTCGACCAGTGCGGCTACCAGGTATTGAAGACCAGCCGCCAGATCTTCTACTCGAAGCAGTACGACTCCTTGGCTGGTCTGTGGGGCGACGGCATCACCGCCGAGGCGGAGAGCGAGGGCATCGACCACCTTGACTCCATGATCAGCCAGCTTTGCAACATCAAGGTTCTCCCTCGCGTCGGGCCGGGCTGTAGTTTAATGGGCCGTTGCCTTAAACGTTACATATGCTACCTGCCTGGGTTTGGTTACGAGTGGAACGAGGACCCAAAGCACGTAATGATGTTGTTGGAGAGCATGGGCAAGCTCAAGGCGAAGCCCCGAAGGAGCCCATGCAGCAAGCACATCGGCAGGGACGATCCGGCGATCCTCGACGAGCTCGACGGCGAGGCGCAGACCAAGTATCGCAGCGACACTGGTCGCGTGCTCTACGTGTCGTCTGGCCGCTTCGACATACAGTACTCGGCCAAGGAACTGGGCGAGCAGATGTCTACGCCTCGTAGGCTAGGCAACGCCAGGCTGGACCGCTGCGCGCGGTACCTCACAAGATGTTCCTTCCTGGCGTTCGTTTTCAAGCACGAGCCGGAGGCAGGCGGCTCCTGGATCCCGGTCGACAGCAACTGGGCGGAGGAGCTGGACCGTTATTCGACCCATGCGGGTGGCGAGTTTGTCGGCTCACATTTGATCGAGCCCTGGGTCGTGACGGACCAGATCCGCGCCCTCTCCAGCGCGGAAGCCGAGCTTTACGGTATCGTCGCCGGTGCGGCCAGAGGCATTATGAGTCAGAGCCTCTTCCAGGAGATCGCGGACATGCGTGGCGCTGTAACGGCGTGGTCGGTGACAGTCGGCAGCGATGCCAGCGCCGCCATCGGCATCAGCTCGAGGAGCGGCGTGGGGAAGACCCGCCATATCGCGACGCGATGGCGTTGGGTCCAAGACGCCGTCCGGGAAAAACATATCATCCTGAGGAAGATCCCCGGCGAGACCAACGTCGCCGACCTGTAGACGAAGGCTCTCGAGCCGAAGAGGCACCAGGAGCTCATGAAGAGGCTCCCGCTGGCGAAACCCACCTGCCGGCGATTCTTGGCGGTGCTGGCGGATCTGGCAGCGACGCCTGAGACGCAGGAGGCGCAGTGACAGGAGCCGTGCATTTATACATCCATTTCGTGACAGTGGGCCTGAGGTCCTGCCACCGCCTTGAAACAGCCATGGCTGAGGTGGCTGTTGCCCAGGCTGCGGTTAGCCCCGCGCCTGGGCCGCTGGTCAGCGGACGCCCCGCGACAGCGCCCGCGTCTGCGGCTCCAGGCCGCGACGGCGGATGAGCCTCGGGGAGGCGGCCAGAACGCAGCCCAGAGATGAGGCTGCAGGAGACCCCATCGAATTGCGATGGATGAGCCTTCGGAGGCCCTGCACTAGAAGGTGTGGTGAGCCGGCCGAGGCGGCAAGCTGCTGCTCCAGCCGATGAGGCCTTGTGAGGCCGCGGCCTGGGCTGACGGAAGGTACCCCGCGCCCGGGATTCAGGCCCGTGTAGTGTAGAAGTTCGGCAGTGCACGGTGGCTGTCGGGCACCGCGCCCTGAGGAGGCGTGGTGAACTACAGAGCCTAGATGTGTAGCGATTGATGCCCAATGCGAAACATAGTAAAGCAGCATGCCTTTAACAGTTTTAACCCTCGGCGTGCTATAGTTAGCAGTGCAGGCAATAGTATGAGCTTAAACCAGGTAGCCGTAGCAGCAACATCAGATGATACTAGGGTGCCCCAGTTGAAAACATGTTGACTGTTTGGCTCAAGCATCCGAGCGTGGAGGAAAAGAGCGCCCTTCAGCCTTTCCTCCCATCTGCGCTCACTCCCGCGAGTTCCGTACTCGCGCACGGATTGCCAAATTATGCTGTGCACCGAACTGCTTGCATCGCAACTTCCAGGGCGAGCGCTTCGGCAGCAGGCGATGAGTCCCTTCCAAAGCAAAATGTCCAACACATGACACGGGCGTGGCGTTCAGTATACACCCTCTTGCTCAGTTCGACCAACAAACAACATAAACATATGTGTTTCCGAGGTCCAGGCGGATTTGGGGTCTAAGCGCCGATCCCAGAAATCCGCGCGGACCTCGGACTGCTCATGCGTGTGCCGTCTTATCTTCATCGTTCAACAGCGGCCCACACATACACACACTCACCGTCTCTCTCGGCCCGACGACGAAAAGCCAATTGCTTTCTAAGAAGAAACAACTTATCATGATTCGAGGAAGACGAAACAACCTTTGTCTCTCTCTCTCTCTCTCTCCCTCTCCCCCTCTCCCTCCCTTACCTCTTTCTCTCTCTCTCTCTCTCGACGGTCCAGGAAGAGGGCCTCCCTGAGCGCGAGCAGCGACGACGTTAGCTTGGCCACCTCGCGGGGCGGAGGGCACGCGGCGCAGCGGAGCCGGGGAGTGCGGGCGGCAGCGACGCGGCGGCACCCGCAGCAGGGGGGCATCCACTGGGCGGCCCGGCCGGCACCTCGGGCGCCCGGGCTTTGGGGGGCAGCGTTGGGGTCTTGGCAGCAGCTCGGTCGCCGCGCTGTGCAGCTGCCTCCTGATGGAAATCCTGGAGGCGCGGCGCGGCCCGCGGAGTCTCAGCAATTGCTCGCATCGCCTGGGCCGTGGCGGGCCAAAACAGGGGCACACTGGCGGTCGAGATCGGCCGACTCGCTTCCACAAGGTGCTGGGGATCAACGATGTGTGGGGGGGGAACGTCGCCCTGGAATCGGTGATGCATCGCCGATAGATCGGCGACATGCCCCCGACAACGAATCCGCACTCTCCTGGGCGGGGCGGGCGATCACTCGATCACTGGGCAATTGGGTGTCGATGCGTGGTGCATCTCCTTCTGAGCCTATCTCCCCCCTAACGTTGCCCCTGAGATCAGACAAAATCGTAAACCTCTGAGAGCCGCCGGGTCTGGAGGACGTATAGTCGGGTGCTGCCAAAGGTGTTCATGACCCAAGGCTAACCTCAGGATTGCTGGGGAGGCCACTAGATGGCCTCCAGAACACCCCTCACGAGGCTCAGAGAGGGTCCCAGGGGCTTCAAAATATATCGAAAAGCAGGGGACACCTTGGGTAGGACCATTTCTAGTAACACCCCGTATCGGGCGCGCCTGTTGGGCGATCAGTGGACGATTGAGGCTCAATGCATTCCCCCTGAGCTTATCTCCCTGAACGTTGCTCGAGAACTTCGGGCGCCCAGGCCTGTGCTCCCAGACCTGCTCGCGTTGTGAAAAAAAGACATTCAGGGTTTGGGTCATTTGGGCCTCGAAGGGCCTCACAAGGTCCTCGGGCACTCAAAGAGCTACGTACCCGGGATGAGAGACCGGTCCGAAATCTCTGGGGGCCACGTTGCAACAACAAAAACAACTTCGGGGGTCCGTGCTGTCACCTGTAAAGGTGGAAATCAGAGCTCAGGCCCGCTCTCGTCCCTGGGAGACAAAGCCAATACTGGGACAAACTTCGGCCGGCATGGATGGATAATCTCTGAAATCTGGCAGTTCTGGAAGATGTGTCGGGCGCCGCAGCTGTTCAAGAACGCCCTGAAAGCGTGGCAGAACGGTCTGACAAAAGCCCGCTGCCATCTAGAAGCATCCCGCCTTGTCGAAGGTCGTCACGCCGGCGCTGTCATGATGTGATTGGGTCAGGATGCGTTCCATGAGTTCTGGGATATATACTGAAGACTCCGTCTTTGAAGCCCGCGCGGAGCAGCAGGAAAATCTGGCAACCTCGGAACGCATCATTGTCATGACTTCCTGCTCCTCCAAAGTCATCCCCCTCTGATGCTGCATGCTTGGATGCCCACTCTCCTTGGGCTCGTTCCCCGTGCACTGGGTCACATCACTTCGCGCACCACGCCCCGCGGTCATTTTCGTGCCCTCGTGCCCCTGCGCCGCCCCCCCCCCGTCGAGAAAGGACATCGCTCTGGTCCATGCCGCGACGCGCGAAGCGCGACCATCTTTCCGCCGCGACCCCCTGCGGCCGGTGCCTGGCCGAGGCAACGGAAACACGGCCCAGGATCGCGACCGGGGCGGGCGCCCAAGGAGAGCGCAAACGAGGGTTCCGAGCAGCGGGAGCTCCGCGCCGAAGCGAGGCGCACGACCGGGCGGCATGCGGAGCAGCAGGCGCGGCGTAGCCGAGGCGAGGCCACGGCCCTGCAGAAAAAACTTGGGTGCGCCGGAGAGGGGGGCACCCCTCCACCTCCTCCTGCGCCCCCTCCTCCTCGGCCTCGACCTCCTAGTCTTCCTCCTTCTCCACCTCCTCCCCCTCGGCCTGAAGAGACGCCCTTCCCAGAAGACGGAAGGGGGGAAGGACGCGCGCGGACGAGGATGGAGGGGGGCACGGAACGTGTTGCAAAAAAAAGGGGCGCCATTGAGATCAGGGAAATATCAAGGCCCTGGCCGTGATGTCCATACAACCCTAGTCCTCACGCCTTTCTTTTCTTGGACAACTGCAGAGCAGCGCGACTCCTGGGCCACTGACTTCGCACGCGGCGCCTGGTCCATCCTCCGCCTCCTCCCTGCGGAAACCTTGAGAAATACATCATTTTTGGTCGCGTCCGCTAGCGAAGGCGCAAGCGGAGTCAGAAGCGCTACGGGTCACGACAGCGGCCAAATTGGCAGCTAAACGCGCCGCGAGCCGGCCGGCCCACTCATCCAGCAGCGGCTGACTGCGCGGAGGGAGCGGCAAGCTGAGGGCGTCCAGGGTGCTCGAGCACTTGCAACACGGCAAAATGCTGGTGAATTCAAGATGTGCCGAGTGGCAAGCCCAAGCGGAGCGTGAGGACGATAGCTGTGATCAGCATGTCCAACCTCGTCTGAGTGCCCAGACGTGGTAAGCGATGGGCCGACGCCAGTGGGGCGCCGAGCCGAGGCCGCGCCAACGGCTTGTGCGAGCCAGCTGAGCTGCTCCGCCGAGGAACGTCGAACACCAGGCTGGGGGTGTGACGGGCCCGGGGGGCGGCCGCGGTGCGAAGGCTGAACCACTCGAAGCGGGCTGACCTCCAGCTGAGAAATACATCAGCCCAGGAGCGAAACCCCAGAGGCTTTCCAGAACAAGGCTTCCAAAGGGCTTCCGCAAGTGCAAAGGGCTTCCGCCAATTCTCCAGATGCATTCCTAAAATACCCCAAGGGCTGCCTCGCGCTGGATTTCTGGGCCGAGCCGACCTGCCGCTTGCACCCGACCCAGGCCCGGTAGGCCGACTCCCGACTGCGCCTGGAACCCGACTGGGCGGACCGATGCGGGCGCGCGCCTAGCTGGCCCAGGCCGAGGCGATCATATAATCGTTCCTCCGTCCTGTTCCCTCCTCCTGACCCTCCTCCTCATCTTGCTGATCATCACCGTGAACATCATCATCACCACTACCACGACCACCATCGCCATCAATAGTAACATCATCAGCCTCATCCTCATCCGGGTACTGATCATGTCCCTCCTCCTTCTCCTCCTCCTCATCCTCCTCATCATCATCAGCATCGTCATCAGAACAATCGTCATAGCCATCCTCATCCAAATCCTCATCCTCAGCCTCTGCCGCATCACCATCATCATAGCGTCGCCGTCGCCAGCACTATCAGCATCATCATAAGCATTGTCATGGTCATCGTCATCCTCATCGTCACTCTTTTCTCCTGAATCTAATCGTAGAGGACGGATGCAAAAAAACGAATGTGTCACTATATTTCTTCTGGGCCCCCATTCACCAGCCCGCGGTATGATGTCTTCCTCGTCCTGCGGATATTTGAGCCCAGTTGCGATGACCAGCAGCTCGCGGATGTCCTCTGGATGTCGATATTGTTTGGTCTCGCTTGCTCGGTAACGGTTCGGTAATGGCCGGCTGCTGCAGAGAAGCTCGAAAATCTTTGATATCGCTCTCGAAGGCCTTATCCTTCTACTTCATGCTCCTGATGTCTTACTTCATGTCGTTCAAGGCGTTCATGGCTGCATCGGCTGTCCAAGTTGCTGATGCATCTGAAAAAAACTTGACATTCGACATGTCCCCTGTAAATCCATAGTTGCATCAAACATCTCCTCAAGCTTTTCCTCATGAGAAAAATTGGCGCGTGCAACCTTGGGTGGTGGAGTACTTCCACTGCTGCCTCCCTCCGGCTTCCGCGTTCCAAGCATGTTCCTCACACTTTCCATATTAACGCGTACTGTTTAATGTACTCTCTATCCTGCACTGGCCAACAAGAAGAAACTAGGTCAGAGGATGCCTTAAGTAGTTTACGGCTCAAAAAGAAAACACTAAAACGTATGACAATATCTCGATTTCGAGCGCTCGAGCCAAGGACATTGGACTGTAGGTCCCCCCCCCGCAACAACCGCATGCTGGAGGCGGGAGAGCGCAACAACGAACTGCCATGCATCATCTGGCGGGCAGGATACATTTAGGGTGAAAGTGTGCCCCTCAAGAATAGCCCTTGAGCCGTCGGGGGCATCATCATCGTCGCCAACATCGCCAGTGTCATCGTCATCCTCACCCTCATCATCGGCATTCTCGCTCCTTCTGCTGGTCCTAGGCCATGACGTTCCATGACCTCCTCCTTCTTCTCATCATCATCATCATCATCATCATCATCATCATCATCATCATCACCATCATGAGCATGAGCATGATCATGATCATGATCATGATCGTCATCGTCATCATCATCATCATCATCATCATCATCATCATCATCATCATCATCATCATCATCATCATCATCATCATCGTCATCGTCATCGTCATCGTCATCGTCGTCGTCATCATCATCATCATCAACATCACCGTCACCATGACACACCTCATCCCCACCATCCTCCTCCTCCCTCTTCCTTCTCTTCAGGCAACACCATCATCCTCATCATCAGCATCAGTGTAAGCATCAACATCAGCATCATCGTCGTCATCATCATCATCACCACCCTTATCATGCTCATCCTCCTGTGGTCCTCCTCCTCCTCCCCCTCCTCCCCCTCCTGGGGAGACGGCCTCGCCACGCTCCGCCACCACCCGCTTGGTGAAGGTCTCACCGCCCCACAGGAAGCCGCTCCGCGCGAGCTCCCTCGCCGACCCCCGCTGGCCGTCCTCGGGGGGGCTGGGGGGGGACGATGCGGGGTGAGCCACAGACCCAAGAGCTCCACATCCTCCTCGTCCTCATCCTAACACGCGCTTGACTACTACTTGTGAGAGCTGGGCGCCGGAGGTCCCAGAAGTGCCGCCACGGAGGGTCCAACACAGACCCTATTCTTCGACACTAGCATGGAAACGGAACCTCCTCGTAGGTTTCCAGAAGTTACTGCTGGTTCTTGGAAGGTTCTCTCGACTCGGGATGCCTGCCAGGAGCTGCGCCTCGCCGACAGTTCCAGGGGTGCCAGAATCGTCTCGAGCTGCCGCGAGAGGCCAGAATTCTGGCCCGAATACCGACCTTCTCGCCTCTTAACGTGGTGAAAAACATCCTGGAGGAACTGGGTCCCGAAACTTTTCGTAGTTTCAGGGCCGCCCGAGGCCCTCGGCGGACCCTGCAGACCGCGACAAAGAACTGTCCATGGGAGAAGCCCCGTGGGCTACGACCAATTGTCCCCGGGACCCCTGTGCTTAATGGCGAGCCCAGAGGGCAATTAGGAAGCGCATCCCTGCTCCAATCGGCGGACTCACCAGAAGCAGACTGGACAGAGTGCAGAGGACAAGGCAAAGATGAGGCCAAATAAGATGGGTCATAATCGAATCGGACAATCCGCTCGGATCACATCGCTCGTCGGAACGGTTTTCATCAACATCAACATCATCATCATCATCATCATCATCATCATCATCATCAGCATCATCATCATCATCATCATCAGCATCAGCATCATCATAATCATCAGCATCCATCATCAGCATCATCACCCCCATCATCATCATCATCATCATCATCATCATCATCATCATCATCATCATCATCATCATCATCATCATCATCATCGTCACCATCGTCATCGTCATCATCATCGTCATCATCATCCTCATCCGCATCATCATCATCATCATCATCATCATCAGCATTATCAGCATCGTCGTCATCATCATCACCATAGTCATCGTCATCGTCATCGTCATGGTCACCGCCATGATGGTCACCATCGTCATCAACATCAGCATCAGCATCAGCATCAGCATCAGCATCAGCATCATCATCATCATCATCATCATCATCATCATCATCATCATCATCATCATCAACATTATCATTATCATCGTCCTGGCCAAAATCCTCCTCCTCCTCCTCCTCCTCCTCCTCACCATCACCATCACCATCACCATCATCATAAACCACTCCGTCAATATCCTCATACTCATCCTCATCATCCCCCTCGTCCCGCCCGAAGTGGCGCCGGCCGCACGTCCTCGGACACGAGCGGGACGTCCGGAATTTGCATGTCGCGGACGCGCACGCGCGCCCAGCCCCCGTCCTCTGGGCGCCTCGCGCCGGCGCCCAGGAAGTAGGTGCCGTGGTCGCTGCAGGGGGGGAGGAAGCGTGGCAGCGCAAACGAGAAAGGAGGATAATGATGATGATGATGATGATGATGATGATGATGATGAGGAGGAGGAGGAGGAGGAGGAGGAGGAGGAGGAGGAGGAGGTGGAGAATTGTCTGAGATTCGCAGCTGGGTGTACGGACGGTGCGAACACGAGCCCCCGTGAGAGGCCCTGTAGGACACCCCGCGACGGTGACCCCCAACGAGGAACCCTGAAAACCCTGGAGGTCCCTTGAGGTCCCCGGAGGCTCTTGCACCGTAGCCACTGTTCTGGTTCGATAGGCACACCGCGCGGGGACCGCGGGGGCCCTCGGCCGTGCTTCAGGGGGCGGTACAACATCCTACACTCATCCACGTCGCTCGACTCTGCTCGCGATCGGGAGTTCGCAGTGGCTTGAGCCAAAGTGCGAGTGCAGAGCAGGTGACAGGGCAGGAGCCCATCACCCGAACGATGGCGGAGGATAGCGGACTCAACACGAAGCGGTTCAGCGGCGACGGGAGCGACGGCGCGGCGATCGTGGTGCAGAAGGCGAGGAATACGCCAGTCGAGGCGCTGGGCCCGTGGTTGTACACACTGCTCGACGGCCAGGCGGCGCTGGCGGTGGAGAATGTCGACCTGTCGGAGATCAACGTCGAGTCGGGCGAGGAGGTGGTGTTCGCGCGCCTCGACGAGTGGTTCCCTGACAAGGTGGCAGGGGATCGACTGGGAGAGGCGATGGGAGACGGCTTCAGCCTGCGCATTCAGAAGAACGAGACCACGGAGGCCTACACAGGACGCGCGCAACTGGTCTTCGCGCGCTTGGCCAAGGAGGGCGTGGATCTCCCATCGGTCGCTAGGGGCTACTTGATTTTACGTGGCGCGAGGTTGGGCAACTTCGGCCGGGCGACGGTGATGTCGGCGACACACCGGAGTTGGAGCGTGGACGAGGTGTGCACGGCGATCAGGACGGGTTTACCGGGAGTCCCCCCAGAGAGGCTCGCGCAGGCGACGTACGCGGTGGAGGAGCCTACGGCCAGCGAGATGACCCCGCCGCCCGAGCCCTACCAGGAGGAGGGCGCCGAGGACGATGTCACCAAGGAGATTGACGCGATCGTCCAGGCTGCGGAGCCGATCGAGGAGTCGGATGCGGTGGAGATCTTGGCGACATGGAAGCAGACACGAATGGCCATGAACAACGAGAAGCTGGATCGGGGGCTGAGGCCTGGGTAGAAGTCACGGCAGCCAGGTCCAGGCGGGCTAACCCGGCAGGACCTCGACAAGCTCGGCTGGCGGGTGGTGTGCTTCAGGTGCAAGAAGATCGGCCACTTCAGCAGAGCCTGCAGGGAGGTCCTCCCTGCCCACAGCTCGCAGATGGTGATCGCGGAGCCGATGGAGCAGGAGGTCCCTGAGGAAGTACTGGCGCAAGCAATACAGAGGATGGACGGTCCCGAGGAGGAATTGCAGCCGAATCTCGAAGATGACCTGGACGACGAGATCAACAGCATCCTGAAGGTCCACGGGGACAACGTGCTGGCTAAGTTCATCCAGGAAGAGCGGTGGAAGAGGCTTGAGCAAGTATGAAGGAGAAGCAGGAGGACGATGACGCGACGCCCGAGGCGAAGGCTGCGGAGGAGGGTACTGTCCTGGGGGTGACGCACTCCGACGGGTGCTCGGTCCCAGACACTGGGTGCTGCAAGTCCCTGACTCGCGAGGAGACGTTGGCGAAGCACGAGGCAGCAACTGGCCGAAAGGCAAGGTGGATCAAGGACGCCAAGTCGATGCGGTTCCGCGGGTTCGACAACAGCGTGCAGGAATCCACCGGCGCGGTGGAGCCGGACTGGATGATCAAAAGCTGCGTCGTAACGTTCGTGGTATACGTGGTGCCGGGTTCCGCGGGCTTCCTCATGAGCAAGCCAGACCTGAAGGCCCTAAGCTTGGCCATTGACCTCGAGACGGACTAGATGTACCTGAAGCGGCTCGACATGAGAGAGAACGCGTTTCACGGGCGCTTGCCTTGGGGGGACTCCCCTCCCCCCAAACCCCCTCCACTCCCGAACCCTCCAACCCCCCTCCTCCCTCCCAGGGGGGGGGTTCAAACCTCCCCCCCGTTCACAGAGGGGGGAGGGGGGGGTTCAAAACCCCCCCCCCTCGGCGCCGGCGCCGCCGGCGCTGGCGGCCCACAGCGGGGACGCAGCGACGATGACCAGAGGCAACTCTACAGGGGGGGGGGGTTCAACTCCCCCCCGCGCCGGCGCCGGCGGGGACGCAGCGACCCACAACTACCACCACCACAACTACCACCACAACCACCGCCTCAACCCACCACCACCACCACCACCAACAGCACCACACAACCACCACCACGACCACCACCACCACCACAACCACCACCACAACTCACCATCACCACCACCACCACAAAAACCCAGTAGCACCACCACGACAGTCTAGCACACCACCACCGCCACCACCACCACCAACACCACGACCCACCGCCACCACCACAAAACACCACGCCACCACCACCACCGCCGCCGCCACCACCACCACCACAACAAAACGACCACAAACCACCGCCACCACCACAACCCACCACCACCACCACAAACCACCACCACACCACAACAACCACCACCACCACCAGAACTCACCACCACCACTACCACCACAAAAACCCACCACCACTACCACCACCACAATTTACCACACCACCACCACCATCGCCACAACCACCACCACTAACAGCAGCACAACCCACCACCGCCACCATAAACAACCACACCACCGCCACCACCACCACCACCGCCACCACCACCAACAACACCACCTCCACAAACCACCGCCACAACCACAACCCACCACCATCACCACCACCACAAACCACCACCACACCACCACCAAACCACCACCACCACCATCAGAACCACTAACCACCACAACACCACCAAACCACCACCACCACCACCCGCCACAACCACCACCACCACGCCAACACAACCACAAACACCACCACCACAAACACCACCACCGCTACGATTACCACATATACCACCACCACCACTACCACCACAACCACCGCCTCAACCCACCACCACCACCACCAACAGCACCACACAACCACCACCACCACCACAACCACCACCACAACCACAACCACCACCACAACTCACCATCACCACCACCACCAGAAAAACCCACCACCAGTAGCACCACCACGACAGTCTAGCACACCACCACCGCCTCAACCACCACCAACAGCACAACCCACCGCCACCACCACAAAACACCACGCCACCACCACCACCACCGCCACCACCACCACCACAACAAAACGACCACAAATCACTGCCACCACCACACCACCACCACCACCACAAACCACAACCACACCACCACAACCACCACCACCACCAGAACTCACCATCACCACCACCACCACAAAAAAAACACCACAACCACAATTTACCACACCACCACCACCACCACCGCCACAACCAAACCACCAACAGCACAACCCACCGCCACCACCACAAAACACCACACCACCACCACCACCGCCACCACCACCACCAACACCACCTCCACAAACCACCGCCACAACCACAACCCACCACCATCACCACCACCACAAACCACCACCACAAACCACCACCACACCACCACCACCACCACAACCACTAACCACCACCAAACCACCACCAAACCACCACCACCACCACCACCCGCCACAACCACCACCACCACGCCAACACCACCACAACCACCACCACCACCACCACCACCACCACCGCTACCACCACCACCACCACAACCCACCACCACCACCGTCGTCTTCGTCGACGCTCCCCGCCACCGCCGCCCGCCGCCGCAGGCGCAGGCCGGCGCCGGCCCAGAAATGGAAATCATCGTCCCCGCCGCCGTCGCCAGCCGCCGCCGACGCAAGCGCCGGCCCGAAGAGAGGGGAAGCAATGGGGGGGGTTTGAACCCCCCCTCCAAGCGACCACAGAACGCGCTCCTTCCGACATGACGATCCCTCTGAACGAGACTGTGGCGGAACACTGCGAGATCGAATTCCTGAATCATGAGAAGAGGACCGAGGCAGACACGCGCGTCGCCCGCGCGCGTGCAGAGCGTGGCCGAGAACGAGGAAGCTCTACTGGCATCAATTTTTCAGTAAGGCCGTGTCGAAGCCCGCAGGCCGGGAGAACGGTGACCGAGCTGTTCTCCCCACCGCGGATCGTGCTGGTCGCGGTGGGCTCGGGGTTCCTGGAGGGTCAGAGCCTAGATGAGGCGCGCGGCTGGGACGTGGACATGGGCGACGATCACAACGCCATGTGGCGGCACATCATCGAAGACGAGCCGCACTTCGTGCACATGCGCCCCCCGTGCCGGAAGTTGTCGATCATGCAGCAGCGCATGCCTTTTGGAACGCCGAAGGGGCCTGGCGCAGCACGGCGAGAATGTGAAGTGGTCGATGAGCTTCGTGCAAGCGGTCGTGGAGCTGGCGATCTACCAGATGGAGCGGGGCAGGCACTTCGTGGCGAGGTACAATTTGAATCCGCCGTGTGTACCCACTGTGCTGGGCCCCCCAGCAGGCCTCGAAAGTGGCGACAGTTTCACAGATCGCAGCCCCCCAGAGATGGCGAGGTACAATTTCAATCCGCCGTGTGTACCCACTGTGCTGCGCCCCCCAGCAGCCCTCGAAAGTGGCGATGGCTTCACAGATCGCAGCCCCCCAGGGATGGCGAGGTCCCACTTGAGTCCGCCGTGTGTACCCACTGCGTTGGGCCCCCCAGCAGGCCTCGAAATTGGCGACAGTTTCACAGATCGCAGCCCCCCCCGGGATGGCGAGGTACAATTTGAGTCCGCCGTGTGTACCCACTGCGCTGGGCCCCCCAGCAGGCCTCGAAAGTGGCGGCAGCTTCACAGATCGCAGCCCCCCAGGGATGGCGAGGTACAATTTGAGTCCGCCGTGTGTACCCAGTGTGCTGGGCCCCTCAGCAGCCCTCGAAGGTGGCGACAGATTCGCAGATCGCAGCCCCCCAGGGATGGCGAGGTACAATTTGAGTCCGCCGTGTGTACCCACTGTGTTGGGCCCCCCAGCAGCCCTCGAAAGTGGCGACAGATTCGCAGATCGCAGCCCCCCAGGGATGGCGAAGTACAATTTGAATCCGCCGTGTGTACCCACTGTGCTGCGCCCCCCAGCAGCCCTCGAAAGTGGCGACAGCTTCACAGATCGCAGCCCCCCAGGGATGGCGAGGTCCAATTTGAGTCCGCCGTGTGTACCCACTGTGTTGGGCCCCCCAGCAGCCCTCGAAAGTGGCGACAACTTCACAAATCGCAACCCCCAGGGATGGCGAGGTACAAATTGAGTCAGCCGTGTGTACCCACTGTGCTAGGCCCCCCAGCAGGCCTCGAAAGTGGCGACAGCTTCACAGATCGCAGCCCCCCAGGGATGGCGAGGTACAATTTGAGTCCGCCGTGTGTACCCAGTGTGCTGGGCCCCCCAGCAGCCCTCGAAAGTGGCGACCTTTTCGCAGATCGCAGCCCCCCAGGGATGACGAGGTACATTTGAGTCCGCCGTGTGTACCCACTGTGCTGGGCCCCCCAGCAGGCCTCGAAAGTGGCGACAGTTTCGCAGATCGCAACCCCCCAGGGATGGCGAGGTACAGTTTGAGTCAGCCGTGTGTACCCACTGTGCTGGGCCCCCCAGCAGGCCTCGAAAGTGGCGACAGTTTCACAGATCGCAGCCCCCCAGGGAAGGCGAGGTACAATTTGAGTCCACCGAGTGTACCCACTGTGCTGGGCCCCCCAGCAGGCCTTGAAAGTGGCGACCGTTTCGCAGATCGCAGCCCCCCAGGGATGGCGAGGTCCAATTTGAGTCCGCCGTGTGTACCCACTGTGCTGGGCCCCCCAGCAGCCCTCGAAAGTGGCGACAGTTTCACAGATCGCAGCCCCCCAGGGATGGCGAGGTACAATTTGAGTCCGCCGTGTGTACCCTCTGTGCTGGGCCCCCCAACAGCCCTCAAAAGTGGCAACAGTTTCGCAGATCGGAGCCCCCCAGCTGGCACGCAGCGACGAGCAAGGCAAAAGGCAGGGGGGAAGAGAGGGGCGGGGTGGGAAGGAAGGTTCGCGCGAGCAGTGCTCTATTCAAAACGAGAACCCAACGCAGGAGGGTTGGGAAAAATCACTCGAGGAACGGTGTTCCTGGCAGTTCAAGGGGTATGTTTATATTTCCTGAGACCGGGCGAGAGCTGGACAACCAGAAGAAATGAGGAGCAGGAAGGTGACAAGGCGGACGAGATGCAGGGTGAGACGCAATTTTTCAAGTTTCTTGGGGTATGCTTTGGTGTATCTCGGGGCCTCTTTTTGACCTATTGGGGGGCCTGAGCATGTGGGGGGTCTCTGTGAGTTTTTTTTTGTTCGCCTTTCGGGGTCCGTGTCGGAACTCCTTTGGACCGTTTTCGGTGCCTCTTGTGCCGTCTTGGGGCCCTCCTGGGCCGTCGTGGGGGCCGCTTGGAGCTCACTTGGGCCGTCGTGGAGGCGTCGTGGGCCGTCTTGGAGCGCTCTGGGGCTGGTTTTGGGCCTCCGTCCGAAAGTCAACAAGATGTCCAGGGTCGCCGCTGCCGCCTCGGAGGCCCTGGAAAGCCTAAACCCTGTAAAAACACAGTTAAAGTGAGCCCCGGAGCCCCCATGGGCGGCGCAGGTCCACTCCTGGCGGCCTCCCTCGGAAGCCCTGGAACGCCGAAGCCATGTAAAACACACAAGGAAAGTGAACCCCAGAGCCCCCATGGGGGGCGCAGGCACATCCTGGCGGCCTCGCTCCTGTTCCGCCGGCATATATATATATATATATATATATATATATATATGTATTCATATACACATATATATATATATATATATATATATGCACACGCACACATCTTTACAAATGTGTATATATATGAGGTCCACACCGAAGGCCCCGGAAAGCTTGCAGAACGTTGCAGCAAAATGAGAGGATAAGAAGCTCCTATTGCCAACCACGTGTACGTTTTCGAACGTGGCCATCAACGCCGCCACCAACTCTTCGCGATTGTATCGTTCGCGTACATCCACTGGCATGTCGCAGATATCGACCGCACCCGTGCCATCTCCTGGCTTGCATCAATGAGCGATTGTTGGCAGCATTTGGCTCAGCGGATCAAAACAAGAAGGTGGGAACAAACAGCAAAAGTTTGCAGAGTTCGGACAAATCAAGTCGAGTGGGCTGACAAAACTCATGGGAACATGCATGCGAAAGACACCGAATGGAAAACCAAGCTGGCCTTCTGCTCCGTCCTCCACCGACCCTCCTATAGATTCCCCATCCTCATCAACATTGTCATTATGCTCATGGCCGTCGTTATCTGCACCTGCTCCTGTCCCCTGATAGACCATATCCTTCTTCTGAACCTCACCCTCCTTCACACCTCCTCTTCCAACTGCACCACCCCATCCTCCACCTCCTCCTCCTTATCCGTTTTCTCCACCTCCTCCACAGGCAACATCCTTCCTCCTCCACCTCCCCCAGGCAGAGGGGCAGGTGGAGGAGACGGAGACCGCTGGGGAGGAAGAGGATGCGGACGAGGAGCGGCGCATAAGGTGGAGCTGGCGGAGGTGGAAGTAGACTAGACGAGGTGGAGTAAGAGGAGGCAGTCGAGGAGGAGCAGGAAGTGGAAACGCTACTCTCGCGCCGATTGGACCGCGGCCGTGCTGGAGCGACGCCGGAGAGCACTCCGAGACCACCTCCACCATCTCCCTCCTGCATTACCACCTCAATCCTTTGTCCCTACATATATATATATATATATATATAACTTCTCCCGTTCGCACCTCGAGGCTAGTTTTTTGGGGCGGTCTGGGCGTTTTGCCTGCTAGATCTTCTCCACGTACGACCCTGAAGCGTCAAAACTGAGGGCGGGCCGTTTTCAAAATGTAGTTCTCGCCTTAGCGCCGCGCACATTCGTTTTGAACATGTAGCAAGCGCTTCACGGATTGAGGGCGGCACCTTTTCAACATGTGGCTCTCGCCTTACCGACGCGCACATTCCTATTTTATATTTGCAAGGGTTTCACGGGTGTTCATGATCATCGTACCAGAAATGGTGTTTTGACAAGGCTTAGTTTTACGAGGGTGCAACAATTACTCTGGCTCGCGGTGTCGAAGTCCCAAGAACGGCGTTCTCTTACGCTTCAGGATCGTCAAGGCGCAACAATCAGGTTAATCCGTGGCGTTGAAACCCAGAGAAGGATGTTGCGGCATGCGTCAGGGTCTTCAAACGGTTGTTTCCCAACGGGGCAATTCCATCAGTCAAAATGAGCCGCTGCAGGGGACTATGAAGAGGAAACTTGGAGGGAGGGTTTATTCCAACATCGTTGATGGCTCTTGGGTTTGCACTGGTCCTCCTCCTCCTCCCCCGATCCTTCTCCTTAAACATAACATATCCCTGTCGCACCCCGAGGCAAATTGTTGTGGCGTGCCAGGCGTTTCGCCTGAGACTTCCTCACAGAGTATGGCCCTGAGATTTCAACAGTGATAACAGTTTCACAGATGGAGGGCGGGTCAATTTCAAAATGTGGTTTTCGCCCCAACGTCACGCACAATCGCTTGGAACCGTTGCAACACGTTCACGGGTTGAGGGCGGGTCGTTTCCAAACTGTGGCTCTCGCCTTGGCGCCGCGCACATTCGTTTTGAACATGTGCAACAGCTTCACGGATTGAGGGCGGGTCGATTTCGAAATGTAGTTCTCGCCTTAGCGCCGCGCACACTCGTTTGGAAAATTTGCAAGCGCTTCACGGATTGAGGGCGGCACCTTTTCAACATGTGGCTCTCGCCTTACCGACGCGCACATTCCTATTTTAAATTTGCAAGGGTGCCACGGGTTTCCATGATCATCGTACCAGAAATGGTGGTCTGGAAAGGCTCGGGTTTACGAGGTTGCAACAGTTACGCTGGCTCGCGGTGCCGAAGTCCCAGGAATTGCGTTCTCTCGCGCTTCAGGATCGCCAAGGCGCAACAGTCAGGTTGATCCGTGGCGTTAAAACCCAGAGAGCGATGTTGCGGCATGCGTCAGGGTCTTCAAACGGTTGCTTCCCAACGGGGCAATTCCATCAGTCAAAATGAGCCGCTGCAGGGGCCTATGAAGAGGGAGCTTGGAGGGAGGGTGTATTCCAACATCGTTGATGGCTCTTGGGTTTACACTGGTCCTCCTCCTCCTCCTCCTCCTCCTCCTCCTCCTCCTCCTCCTCCTCCTCCTCCTCCTCCTCATCATCATCATGCGTTCCTTGTCCTTATCAATAGCTTCTCCCTGTCGCATCTCGAGGCAAGTTTTTTGGGGCGGGCTGGGCGTTTCGCCTAAGACTTCCTCACTATTTGAGACCACGGGGCTTCAAACATGATAGCAGTTTCACACATGGAGGGCGGGCCGTTTTCAGAATGTGGCTCTCGCCTTAGCGCCGCGCGCATCCTTGTGAAATCATTGTACGCGTTTCACGGATTGAGTGCGAGTCGTTATCAAAATGTAGATCTCGCCCGAGCGCCGCGCACATTCGTATTACAAAGTTGCAAGGGTTTTGCGGGTCGAGGGCGGATCGTTTTCAACATGCGGTTCTCGCCTAAGCACCGCACATGTTTTCAGAACGTTGCAAGAGATTCTTGGATCCCAATGGTCAGCGTACCAGACATGATGATGTGAAGGATTCAGGCCTATGAGGGTGCACAAGTTATGCTGGTTCGCGGTGCGCGCGAACCCCAGGAATGGAGTTATGGTGCGAGTTGGGATCGGCAAGACGCAACAATCGTTGGAATCCAGAGAACGATATTTTGGCATGCTTCAGGGTCTTCAAACACTTGTCTTCCAACGAGGCAGTTCCCTCAGTCAGAATGAACTGTTGTATGGGGCCTATGAAGAGGATGGAGCTTGGAGGGAGGGTGTATTCCAACAACGTTGGTGCCTCTTGGGTTTGCACTGGTCCTCCTCCTACTCCTCCTCCTCCTCCTCATCCTCCTCCCCGTTCTGCTGCTTCTCCTCCTCCTCCTCCTCCCCCTCCTCGTCCACACCATCCTTTTCTCCGCCCGTCATCGTCCCTCTCCCACTCCCCCGATATCCCCTCAAGCAGCGCTGGTAAACTAAAAACATCTCGGGCCTAGTAAGTGTGGGCTCAAGAGGGGAGGCACAAGGGACGGACGTGGCCTCAGACGATGATGACGATCTTTTTGCCAAGGAGCCGTGCTGCTTCCTTGCTCCGGCGCCCGGCGCCTGGCGCGCCGGCGCCGTCTTAGGCCACGCGTAGCGGGCCACGCCGCCGCCGAGGCACCCGGCGGCACTGTAAAAATCCAGTACAGGGCGGGTGAGGGAGCCTCCGAAGGGCTCCCAGGGCGGGCCAGCTTGGCCTTCGAAAAAGGCTTGAGCCGCCAAGCGGCGGTGAGAAGAGAAGGAGCGAGAGAGGGCAAGCAAAGAGGCAAGGGCAGGAGCAAGGGGACCGCAAGTGGAAGCCCGCGCCAGTTCTGGAAGCGGGGAGATCCATCAGTTTTACCAAACATCCTAGATATCCCCTCAAGCAGCACTGGTAAACTAAAAACATCTCGAGCCTAGTAGGTGTGGGCTCAAGAGGGGAGGCACAAGGGACGGACGTGGCCTCAGACGATGATGACGATCTTTTTGCCAAGGAGCCGTGCTGCTTCCTTGCTCCGGCGCCCGGCGCTTGGCGCGCCGGCGCCGTCTTAGGCCACGCGTAGCGGGCCACGCCGCCAACCTCCTCCTGTGAGCGCACCACCACGCCGAACTGGCTGTAGTGGTTCGCGTAGTCGCCGATCTTCTCGGCGTAGAACTCAACAGTCCTGGCATCTGCGGCGCGCTGCCGCGTCTGCCCAGCGAGGTGGGCCCGCGGGCGCAGGGCGGCACGCCGCCGGCGCCTGCGGTGGTTCTTCGTGCGCCCTGTGCGGCAGCCCTGGCTGGGCTAGCCGCCGGCGCCCCCTCGTAGCCGCCACCGCCGTCCCCCATGACGGCGCTGCCGGTTGCCGGGCCGGTGCAGCGCTCTTGCCCTCAGGCGCCAGCTGCCGCCGCACCGCGCCCAGCTGCTCGCAAGCGCAAGGCTGATCGCGAGCGCCAGGCTAAAATCAGCCGGCGTCGCGCGGCCGCTCGCACGGCGGGCGCCGGCGGCGGACCTCCGCTGCCCGCTCGGCCATTGGCCGGCGGCAGCCTCGCATCTCAGTCTCGATGCGGCCTCTGCTCTCCTCCCAACAAGCGCCGCTGGCTGCCCCGGCGCCCCAGCTGCCCGCAGGCGCCGCCACCCTGGCGCCCCAGCTGCTCGCAAGCGCCACCAGCCGCCTGGCATTCAGCCGGCGGCCCCTCGCCCTCCGCGCGCTCGGCCCCTGATGGCCGGCGGCGGTCTCCTCCTCACTCCTAGTGGTGCCTGAGCGGCACCCCCATGCGCGTCACCTCCTGGGACTCGCCCTCGCCCTCGCCCCCAAGGCTCTCCGCGCTGGTGTCGTTCTTGTCCTCCTCGCCATCCTCCTCGTCGCTGTCCTCATCGCCGTCATCCTCCCCGCCGTCCTCGGTCTCCCCGTCCTGCGTCTCCTGCCCGAGGAGGCCCCCGTGCTTCTTCAGGTTTACGGGGTCAATGGCCGAGACGCCGCTGCATCGCGCCTTCGGCGCGTCGTCCTCGCAGGCGTCGTGCTGGTCCGCCTCGGCAGAGTCCTCTGCTGCGATGCCGGCGCAGTGCGCAATCAGGGTGACGTCCCTGCAGTAAGCGGCCAGGAGGCTGCTGACGTCAGCGCGGCGGTCGGCGCAGCTGTTGGCGCCGGGGTCGGTGCAAATGTCGGCAAACCCGTCTGGGAGCCGGTCGGTGGCATCGTTGGCGCCACTACCGGCGCGGCTGTCGGTGCCATAGTCGACGCAGTTGTCGGTGCCGCAGTCGGCTCGGCTGTCGGCGCGCCTGCTGGCACCGCAGTCGGTGTGGCCGTCGAAGAGGCGGTCGGGACCGTCTTTGAGGTGGCAGTGGGTGCGGAGGTCGGTGCGGCAGTCGGCGCCGCGGCGGGTGCAGCGGTCGGCGTGGTTATCTGTGCCGCCGTCGGCGCCGCTGCAAGCGCTGCCGTCGGTGCTGCTGTCGGCCT